TGTGTGTGTGTGTGTTTTATTTTAGTAGTAGTAGTGTTATTATATAGTTTTTCAAAAAACTGTCATGTGTTACATAATTGTGCAAAATAAATTGGGAATAATTTAATGTAATTTTTTTTGTAGTGCCTACTACTCTGTTGCTATTTATCTTAATTTAGACATAGTCTTGTATCATTGGTGACTCATTTCTAGCATTACTATTTAGTGCGAGTCCCTTTCCTAATTCCATTAGTCTGGTAATACTGTTCAAATGATAACTCGCTGTTAATTTTTATGTTTGTTTTTCAGTTCATGCTTCCGGTAATAAACCCACTGCTAAATGGAACCCAGTTTCAGTGAAAGGACTGGATGAACACGGCTTTCTCTGACAGCAGATCTCAAGCTATCACAGCACTCTGCGTGAGTGAATGCTCAGCGGCCTTCCCCTGAAGATGTGTGTTTGTGTAGTATGCATTCAGACACAGTGCGTGGCAGTATCCGACTTTACATTTGCACATTTTTAAGCCAAAAGAGAACAATATTACGTAACTTAGAAGACAAAATTCCAAAACACTTCTTTAGGCTTAAGGATATTTGATGTAACTTAAGACTAACAAAACTAACAAAAAATACGACTGATTGTCCAATGACAGTTTGCCCGAAATATGATAAAGTGCTTTAGTTGGTTTGGAGGGATGTGTTTCTGTTCACTGCTTCTGATTTTCTCTGTTTTGATTGTTTGTGGAGGAAGGAGCTGTATTTTCAGAAGGTGAAGCTGCTAAATGTGAAACCATTCCTGTCTTTAGTAAGAACTGCTTTTGAAAAGCAAAATTAAGCTTAATGTTTGATGGCCTTTTTTGTTGGTTTAGGTGTGTGACGATATCTCTTTTTTTTATTATTTAGTCCCTCATCAATTATTAAAAATGCTTTCACCCTTTTATTATGTCAAGGTCAGTTTTCGACCAATGTGCACAAAAATTATAGAGAAGACACTGGAGATTAAATTGTTTGGTCATTTATAAGTAAAAAGTGGAATTTGACGTTATTTGGGCTCATCTAAATATGTTTTCTTTTCATATTTGGAACAAGACAAGTTGTACATTTTGTCATTATTTGTATGATGTTTTGTATATTGCTAGGCAGAACACACTGAATAGTGCCTTATTTTGTATGTAAAGATGGGATAACGGTGTTTTTATTTGTAAAATGTTAACTTTCTAAATTCTTTTATAATGTTGTAGTTCATTTTGGTTGAGAACTTTTAATAAACTGATTTATTTAAGCATAACATGATGGTTGCCCAATTTGTGAATGTTTAGACTACCATTCAGTGAGATTTTAATGCTTTTATAAGAAGTCTCTTCTTATTATAAAATATTATTATCATTTGAAATAACTGTTTTCTGTTTTAATATGTAAAATGTAATTTATTCCTGTGATGCAAAGCTGAATTTTCAGCATCATTACTCACATGATCCTTCAGAAATCATTCTAATATGCTGGTTTTATGCTAAAGAAACATTTCCGATTATCGTTATTTTTGGAAGCAGTTGTGTTTAATATTTCTGTGGAAACCATGGTAACATTTTTGAAGATTCTTTGGTGAATAAAAAGAGAACAGCATTTATTTGAAATGGAAATATTTTGTAACATTATAAATGTCTTTACTGCCAATTTAATGTTGAATAAACTCAACTCAAACTTTAGCATGGTAGGCATTTTTTATTTTTAAAAACACTATCAAAGTAAATATAGATTAACATATGTTATAAGAGCTCTATGCATACAATTTTTTTTTTTTTTTTAAAGATTTACTTTTTTTACAACAACACGGGATGTATATATTCAATCTCTGGCAATTATTAGCAAAAATTTGCAGACAAATCAAAATGATAGAACCTCAATTTCAGATGTCACGTGTATTGTTTTTCATTAGAAAAAAATTATGCTAACTAAAAAAATTATACATATAAACATCATAGCTAGAAAAAAATCTAAAAGACCCCATTCCCATAACATACAGAGCACATACAGTAATAAATACATATATAATACAAATAACATTGAGTAGCATACATTTACATTATAACACATGACAGTCCTCTGAGTTACAGAAGATGTTTTGTGATCATGTCACCCTTGGGCTTGGAAACAGTTGTTAATGTGGCTGTTCTATTCTGTTTCGAGTCTGAAGTGCATGAGCAGACAACAAACCACAGTCCAGCACGGTCACATCATGATTAGCATGTGCACTAAGTAGTAGAGATGTCGTGTGCTCAGGTTATGTGCAGCTGTGACTGAACTCACATTTTAACGTGACACACATAGCGGTGTGCCTTTCCTTTCTTACAGTCTCGTATCTGCCATTTCGTCTTCCTCCAGACCAGGACGCACCTCCTCGTTCCCTTCCTGTTTTTAGGAGGGCTGTGCCTCCAGTTGGTGTAAGTGACAGGCTCTCCACTCACCCACTCCCAGCGGCCTTTACTGTCACGATCATTCAGACCTGTCATTACACAGAGAGAGCGACCAGTTCATGTTTAACCCTTTAAATCCTACCGGGTCACACTTTAGCTTGGGGACTGCGCAAAGAAAACAAAAATAACAACTTTATTCCGCATTTTCGTCTCTACTGTGTCACTTTGGACGTGCATTCACGACAGTATCATGACGCGAGCGTGTGGCGGCGCAGATCGCTGGCGTCATGATACTGTCGTGAACACACGTCCAAAGTTACGCAGTAGAGACGAAAATGCGGAATAAAGTCGTTATTTTTGTTTTCTTTGCGCAAAAAAGTATTCTCGTAGCTTCGTAACTTTACAGTTGAACCACGGATGTCACACGGACTACTTTGTCGATCATCTTGGTAACAGTATAATGACGCGAGCGTGTGGCGGCGCAGATCGCTGGCGTCATGATACTGTCGTGAACACACGTCCAAAGTTACGCAGTAGAGACGAAAATGCGGAATAAAGTCGTTATTTTTGTTTTCTTTGCGCAAAAAAGTATTCTCGTAGCTACTACTTTGTCGATCATCTTGGTACTTTTCTGGACCTTGAATGTGGTAGTTACCTTGCTGTCTATGGGAGTGTCAGAGAGCCCTCATATTTCATCAAAAATATCCTAAAATGTGTTCCGAAGATAAACGAAGGTCTTATGGGTTTCGAACAACACAAGGGTGAGTAATTAATGACAGAATTTTCATTTTTGGGTGAACTAACCCTTTAACTACAATTTTGCCTCAATAAATTCCTTATTTGCTGCTTATTAATAGTAAGTTAGTTTAGGTTTAGGTATTGGGTAGCATTAAGGGATATAAAATAAAAAATAAAGCATTAATATCTGCTTTATAAGTACTAATAAACAGCCAATATGCTAGTAATATGTATACTAATAAGCAACTAGTTAATAGTGAGAATTGGTCCCTGCGTATTACCTCCTACAGTATCATAATTGATACTCAAAGGCCTCTAAATGATCTACATGATCATAACTTTGCTACTACACGCCTTCTGTCGTCTGACTGGTAGTTTATACTATTTTAGCAACTTTTTAAAGTATAATTGTGAAAATGTCCACCTTCAGGTCATGGTCATTTTTATAAAGTAAGCATAACATGGTTGCCCAATTTGTGAATGTTTAGACTACCATTCAGTGAGATTTTAATGCTTTTATTAGAAGTCTCTTCTTATTATAAAATATTATTATCATTTGAAATAACTGCATTTTTGCAAAAAAGAAAAACTGAAATATCACATGGTCCTAAGTATTCAGACCCTTTGCTGTGACACTCGTGACACTCATTCAGGTGCTGTCCATTTCTTCTGATCATCCTTGAGATGGTTCTACACCTTCATTTGAGTCCAGCTGTGTTTGATTATACTGATTGGACTTGATTAAGAAAGCCACACACCTGTCTATATAAGACCTTACAGCTCACAGTGCATGTCAGAGCAAATGAGAATCATGAGGTCAAAG